ACCGCTTTTCAAGGACAGGTTTATTTTTCTTTTTTCCCTTGTTCTGTTTAGCATCGGAGTCCTCTCATAATCCACTGGAGGTGTGGAACATGTTTACTTCTGGCTCAACTTTACCCTGAGGGTATTGCCTCTTGGGAGTGGTAAGTGGTCTTGTCTTCCTGTGCAAAGGATCTGATAACCTTTTCACCTAGCAGGGCCCTAGGCCCTGAGTTCTTGCCTCCTTATCCCATGAGGCAGCCTGTGTAAACTGAAGTCCAAGTTTGCCCTGACCTACATGTGTCCTGAGGACAAAAGTAACATCAACGCTTCCTACTGAACTAACTTACCTCAGTTGTTTCCTGATTGCCCTTAGAATTTGGTACCATAGTTTTTCCACTGTTATCAGTTCCTGCTGTTTTTTAACGAGTCATGTATTTTACTTTATTTAGCATTTATAGTTTTCAGCAGCAGCAGATTTGGCCCCAGTAAGGTTGGAATTGGAAATTTAGTTAAAATGTTAAAGCATAATTTTAGCATCTAGCAAGAAGGAAACTAACTAGTGATCTGCTTATTCTGTGCCAGATGCTGTGTTACATCTTTGCATATTACACAGCTAGGAAACTAAGGCTCTGAAACATGAATTAACATACAAAAGATTCTATGTGGCAAATTCTCATTTGTAGCCCAATGATATTTTTATTCAAATTCCATTTTCTTTTTAGTATACCAAACCGTGTCTTGTAATTTTTGATTACCTACAGGGTCTCAGCTCTGAGGCTATAGTTAAGTGCCTGGAACATAGTAGGTATTTAAAAAACTTGATGAATTGGTGAGTGAATGAGTGAGTTAATAAAGGAACCAAACAAATTTTCCAGTCTTGTGATTTACTAGGGAACCCATGGGATGTAAACATGTAAATATATGTAAATATATGAACTCCAGTTTTAAGTAACTGACAATAGAGATCTGAGTGGAGTGTTTTGAGAACTAGAATAAAGAATTCTCATTAGTATTTTTAAAAAATGCTTAATGCTTTTAAAATTTGTATTTATTTGAGGAGAGAGTGCTCATCTACTAGTTCACTCCCCAAATACCTGCAACATTCCTAGGTCAGGACCAAAGCTAGGTGCTGGGAACTCAATTCAGGTCTGCCATGTGGGTGATAAAACACAGTTACTTGAATCATCACTGCTGCCTCCCTGCGACTATATTGGAGGGAAGCTCGAGCCAGAGGCTGGAGCTGGGAATTGAACCCAGGTACTCTGATGTGGGCATCTGAAGCACTAGGCTAGGCCCCTGTCCTTCTTCAGTAATGTAGCAGATTGCAAGCAGAAGATGAGTCTGGAGAGATACACAGGCTCCAGATCCCGAAAGGCTTTGTCCTCACTTTGTCTATAATATTGTGTACTTACTTTATACAAACAGTACTTGAAATAATTCATGCTCACAGTATTAACCAGTAGATATTTATTGCTGCGATTTCTATAGGAACAGAAAATAAGAAGTTGAGAGGTTACAATGTGGCCAAGGCCACACAAGCTAGTACAGAACATACTTGAGCTTCAAACCTAGTCAGTTTGACTGTGGAGTTCATATCCTTAACCACTATACTGAGCTTTTCCTCTCTAGCAGCATATAGCATGGGCCTCTTTCATACCAAACACAGGAAAATCTAGCTGCACTTTATTTCCCTCTGTTGTTATGCCATAATCTATTAAGTGGATGGATTTTTTTTTGTTATTTCTAGTTTTTTTGCAATTGTGAAGTGTGCTTCTGTGAGCAGTTTTTACTCCCCATCCCAAGCTGATTCTGATACTCCCCTACAAGACCACTCTGACCCTCTTGTTTATCATCCCTGGACTAAATGATCTCTAAATTCCTGCAGGGTCATCAACTTCAATTCTGAGATTTGCAGAGCCATAATTCTTAATCTTAGTCAGGGTTCTACGTGCTGTAGATTACTCAATATGGTCAATGACAAGGCTCATATGTACTCATATTTTTGTCTTTTTAAATATTATTTATTTGAAATGCAGAGTTACTGAGAGAGGGAGAGAAGGAGAGGGAACAGGAGAGGGAGGGGGAGGGAAGGTAGGAGGGAGGGAGAGAGAGTAGAGAGAGAGAAAAAGAGAGAGAGGTCTTCCAACTGCCAGCTCACACCCCAAATGGCCACAATGCTTGGGGCTGCACCAGGGTGAAGCCAGGAGCCAGGAACTTCTTCCAGGTCTCCTATGTGGGTGCAGGGGCACAAGCACTCTGGTCATCCTCTGCCGCTTTCCCAGGCCAGTAGCAGGGAGCTAAATCAGAAGAGGAACAGCTGGGATCTGAACTGTTGCCCATAAGGGATGATGGCGTTGCAGCTTAACCCGCTGTGCCAGAGTGCCAGCCCCATATACTCATTTTCTGACAATTGAAGGCCTGGATGACTTATTAGCTAACATTTATTGAAGGCTTCCTATGTTAAGCCCTTACTATAATTTACATACATTATTGTATTTAATCCTCTTAGCAATCCTATTATTCTCCTTTGTCAAATGAGAACACTGAGACTTGAAGTAGTTAAATGCCTTGTCTGCAGTCACACAGCTAGCAAAGGGCTATCTGATTGCAAAGTTCATGTTCTTTTTCATTTATTTATTTATTTGAAAGGCAGGGTTACCAAGAGGGAGGGAGGGAGAGAGAGAGAGAGAGAGAGAGAGAGAGAAATAGCTTCCATCTGCTGGTTCACTCCCCAGATGGTTACAGCAGTTGGGGTTTTGCCAGGCCAAAGCCAGGAGTCAGGAGCTTCATCTGGGTCTCTCACATGGATAACAGGGATCCAAGGACTTGGGCTGTCTTCCTTGGATTTCCCAGGTGCATTAGCAGGGAGCTGGATTGGAAGTGGAGCAGCTGGGCTGCAAACTGGCACCCGTTTGGGACGCCAGAGTCACAGGCAGTGCTTAACCCACTATGCCACAACGTCAGTCCCAAAGTTTGCTATATTCTTAACTCTTGTATTAATTTGGTAGGGCTGTGATAAAGTACCACAAATTGGGTGGCTCCAAACAACAGAAGTTTACTGTTCCATGCTTCTGGTAGCTAGAAGTCTGAGGTCAGGCATTGATAGGGTTGCTTCCTGCTGAGGACTCTGAGGGACACTCTATTGCATGCCTCACTCCTAGCTGCTAGGGATGGCTCACAATCCTTGTTCCTCCTTGGCTTGCTGCTGCATCTCGTTCCCATCTGCCTCTGTCATCAAATGTTAATCTCCCTGGTGTCTCTGTCTCCTGTGAGCTTTTCTTCTTCTTCTTCTTTTTTTAAAAGATTTATTTATTTATTTGAAAGAGTTACAGAGAGAGAGGAAAGGCAGAGAGAGAGAGAGAGAGTTTTCCATCCGATGGTTCACTCCCCAATTGGCCGCAACAGCGAAGCTGCGCTGATCCGAAGCCAGGAGCCAGGAACTTCTTCTGGGTCTCCCATGCAGGTACAGGGGCCCAAGGACTTGGGCCATCTTCTACTGCTTTCCCAGGCCACAACAGAGAGCTGGATCGGAAGAGGAGTAGCTGGGACTAGAACTGGCGCCCATATGGGATGCTGGCGCTTCAGGCTAGGGCGTTAACCCACTGTAACATAGCGCTGGCCCCGAGCTTTTCTTCTTACAAAGCCATCAGTCATATTGGTTTAAGGCCCATCATGGTGATCTCACCTTAATTATATTGCAGAGACTCTATTTCCAAATAAGGTCATACTTATGAGTTCTGGGGTTTAGAACCTGAACGTATCTTTTTAGGGAATACATTCTAAACTATAACAGCCTTTATTGCAAAACTGCCCTGAAATAGCTATGGAAAAAATAGCTGTTCATTCTCTCTTAACCATTCCCATCAAAAAAGAGTAGTCAAGAGTGTTATTTCAGGGCCTGCATTGTGGCACAGTGGGTTAAGCCACTGCCTGCATTGCTGCCATCCCATATGAGCAGCAGGTCGACTCCCAGTTGCTCCATTTCCGATCCAGCTCCCTGGCTAATGTGCCTGGGAAAGTGGAAGATAGCTTAAGAGCATGGGTCCCTGCCACCCATGTGGGAGACCAGGATGAAGTTCCAAGATCAAGCTTCTGGCTTTGGCCTGGCACAGGCCCAGCCGTTTTGATGATTTGGGAAGTGAACCAATGGCTGAATGGTTCCTCTGTCTCTTTGTCTCTTCCTCTCTCTGTATCTCTGCCTTTCAAATAAACAAAGTAAATCTTTTTTTAAAAAGAGTGCTATTTCTTTTGGACTAGAGTAGTGTTTCTCCAAGTGTGGTCAGGACCAGGAACATTGGAATCTCCTGGGAACTTGTTAGGATGCAGAACCTCAGGCCCTGCCCTAGATCTAGTGCATCATAATCTGCATTTTAACAAGATCCATGGGTGACTGTGAACTTCTCAAGTTTAAGAAGCATTGATGTAGTAAATCTGGATAATTATCTTGAGAGTTGTGGCTACTAGGAAAGGAACTGACAAACTTTGGCTGGTAGGCACAGAAATTAATTTTTTGTTTGATGATGCTTCTAATTATAAATGTAAAGTGATCTCATTGCATAAACTTTGAAGAGTATAGAAAATATAGAGGAACAGCAGAAAAATTATCAACTATAATCTCATCACCTGGAGGCAATATCTACATTTTATTTTTCTTGCTTCATTACTTTTACCATAGGTAAAGGCCAAAATCTTGATTTGTTTAAAATTTACATATTGATAATATTTTAAAGTTAATTTGTATTATTTTAAAGTTTACATGTGGTTGAAACTCAGAAAAATACATGAATTTATAAATTTTACAGTTTTTCACTATTATTCCTTTAGAATTATTTAAAATTTTGGATTAGCTAATGCTTTAATTTAAGGCCAAATGCTTATGCCTACATTTTCTCCTCAGTATGCTTAATTCATAGCTCAATTTTCTTAGAACTGATCTTTCAAGCTTTATTATATGATCAGATTGTATAGTTTTTAGTGTATGTGGAAAGTTCAAACTTTAAAACGTCTTTGTCTTTTTGCAGCCTGAATTCAACAAAACAAATACTTTCTATATCTTCAATCATGTTGATATTACTGTTATATATCACAGGGAAAATGAAACAGATTTACATATTGCCAGATTGATTGCTGCTAAAATTGAACCAAAAAGGTAATTATAGAATTTCATTTTAACTAACTCCAGTGATTTAAAAATTACTCCAAAATATGGAAATTCTCAACCAGAATTTCTACTTTTAGGATTCTTATGTGAATATACCCTTAGACATAAAGCTAAGTGTGTAAATTTTCACCCTCCGACCTAGAGTAAGCATCTGGATACCATGTTAAGTGAGGAATAAGTGAGAAGTCTGAAAGAGAATACAGTTTAAAAATGAGGGTGTCAGCTCTTCATTTACTTGCTGCCATGTGATAAAGGAGTTCGATTTAGGTGTGTGTTACTTCGGAAGACAGGTGTAGCACTAATAGAATCTACTAGGAAGGTATCAGCTGAGTAGAAGAAAGAATCTTCTAATGATTAGAGACCTGTAACAGTTGAATAAGTAGCCTCAAGTATTAGGGAATTCTTCATTCCTGGACATAGGTAGAAAGAGCCTGGATGACTCAGTTCTTAGATATTGCACAATTAGGCACCCTATAGCACCCAGTACTTAGTAAATAAAATGCCCAATGAGTTGTAAAGAATAATTTTGCATTGAGTAGGAGATTGGATGATGAGCTTTAATTTTCCAATTCTAGCATCCTTTAAACTAAAGGATACAGTTAATACTCTTTAATTAAGATAGATAAAGAGTAGAAGTTATCACATAATTATAAAGTCATGATACATTGTGGCAAAATATTATGAAACCTGAAACACTAGGATGGAGGAAATTATCCCTTGAAAATTCAGTGACATATATTAAAGGAGGCAGGTATAGTGGACTTTTCTGGACACCAAAGAAGGAATTAGGAGACTTGGATTTTAATGTCATCTTTGCTGGTTCCATTTTTGAAGTTAACCCTGAGTTCATAGAAATAAATTTAAATTCATGGTTTGTAGCCTTACTATCCTGTGCATTTTAGTTAAGGTTCTACCATTTGTAGCAGCTGATGGACAAAGGCAAGTAATAGAGAATTAATGAGTATTACGCCAATCTTTTGAGCATGGGTAAGTTAACTTTGTCTCTGGTAGAATTAATTTCATTGTTTATAAAATGAGAAGGCTGAATTAAGAGTTTTTAATGTGGAGCCTGATGCAACAACCCCAGGAAATGCTTATTCATGTGTACTTTTCTGGGGGAAAATGTGTATTTCATTAGATAAACAGACCCCAAGTGGTTAAGAACACTGGTACTCCCAACTTTTGCTTGATGTCATAATTTTGTTGTTTTTTTCCCTAAAAGTTTGAAATTTTTTAAAAATTATTTGCAAAGCACACACACACAACCCTCACACACACATACACAGAGATGGAGAAAGCACTCATCTGCTAGTTCACTCACCAAATGTCGATAAAGCCCACTGACTTGGGCTGAAACTAATGCCATGAACTCAATCCAGGTTGCCTATGAGCATGACAGGAACCTAACTACTTGAGTCATCACCTGCTGACTCCAAATATCTGCATTACCAGGAAGCTGGAATCAGGAGTAGAGCAATGATGAAAACTCAGGCATGAAGGAGTCCTAAGTAGCATCTTAACCAGTAGGCCAAACCCCAGACTCTCCAGTAAAACTGAAAAACAAGTATACATTTAAGATGTACAATATGGTGTTTTGGCACCATTATACATAATGAAATGATTATTACAGCCAAGGCAGTTAGCATATATATTTACTTCACATAACTACTTTGTTTTTGTTAGAAGAGTACCTAAAATCTACTCCCTTAGCAAATTTTCAGTGTGCAGTATCACTGTATTAACTATGGTCATTGTGCTGTACATTAGATTTCTAGAGTTATTCAATAATCATAACAGCAAGTTTGCTCCCTTTGAACTGTATCTCCCTGTTTCCTCTCCCTCTCTACCCCATTCTACTCTGTTTCTGTGTATTTGACTTAGATTCCAAATAAAAGTGAGTCATGCAGTGTTTTGCTTTCTATTCCTAGCTTATTTCAGATAGCATAATGTCATGTAGGTTTATCCTATTGTTGCTAATGGCAATATCTCCTTTATAAAGGTTGAATAGCATTCCAGTGTATATACACACCACATTTTCTTTACCTATTCTTCTTTTGGGAAGGGCACTTAGGTGGATTCCATATCTTGGCTACTGTAGATAGTGCTGCTGTAAACATGGGAGTATGGATAGCTCTTAGACATACTGATTTCACCTCCTTTGGATATACTTATATACCCAGTAGTGAGATTTCTAGATCATATGCTAGCTCTCTTTTTAATTTTTTCAGGATCCTCCATGCTGTTTTCCATTATGATTGTACCAAATTTACATTTCCACCAAGTGAACAAGCATTTCTTTTACTCCGTACTTTCCCCAACACTTGTTATCTTCTGTGTTTTTAGAAATAACCATCTTGACAGGTGTGAGGGATATCTCATTGTGATTTTGATCGGCATTTCACTGATAATTGCAGATTTCCAATTCTGTTTTATATTAGTGAAAGGATATCCTTTTAAAATTAGTGGCTGACAGAGTGTCTTGGCTTTCCATGCCTAAAATACTCTCATGGGCTCTTCAGCCAGATCCGAATGCCTTAAGGGCTGATTTTGAGGCCAGAGTGCTGTTTAGGACATCTGCCCTTCTATGAGTCTGCTTTGTATCCCGCTTCCCATGTTGGATCATTCTCTCCTTCTTAATTCTATCAGTTAGTATTAGCAGACACTAGTCTTGTTTATGTGATCTCTTTGACTCTTAGACCTATCATTATGATCAATTGTGAACTGAAATTGATCACTTGGACTAGTGAGATGGCATTGGTACATGCCACCTTGATGGGACTGAATTGGAATCCCCTGGCATGATTCTAACTCTACCGTTTGGGGCAAGTCCGATTGAGCATGTCCCAAATTGTACATCTCCTCCCTCTCTTATTCCCACTCTTATATTTAACAGGGATCACTTTTCAGTGAAATTTAAACACCTAAGAATAATTGTGTGTTATTTGCAGAGTTCAACCAATAGTATTAAGTAGAACTAAAAAAAAAAAATACTAAAAGGGATAAAGTATTAAGTTGTTCATCAACAGTCAGGACAAGGGCTGATCAAGTTACTGTTTCTGATAGTGTCCATTTCACTTCAACAGGTTTCCTTTTTGGTGTTCAGTCAGTTGTCACCGATCACGGTGAACATATGATATTTGTCCCTTTGCGACTGGCTTATTTCACTCAGTATGATGTGTTCCAGATTCCTCCATTTTGTTGTAAATGACCGGATTTCATTGTTTTTTTACTGCTGTATAGTACTCTATAGAGTACATGTCCCATAATTTCTTTATCCAGTCTACTGTTGATGGGCATTTAGATTGATTCCAGGTCTTAGCTATTGTGAATTGAGCTGCAATAAACATTGAGGTGCAGACAGCTTTTTTGTTTGCCAACTTAATTTCCTTTGGGTAAATTCCAAGGAGTGGTATGGCTGGGTTGTATGGTAGGGTTATATTCAGGCTTCTGAGGAATCTCCAGACTGACTTCCATGGTGGCTTAACCAGTTTGCATTCCCACCAACAGTGGGTTAGTGTCCCTCTTCACTTTCCTGACTGTTTTGCTGTACAGAAATTTCTCAATTTGATGCAATCCCAATTGTTAATTTTGGCTTTGACTGCCTGTGCTTCCGGGGTCTTCCAAGAAGTCTTTGCCGGTGCCTATATCATGCAGGGTTTCTCCAATGTTCTCCAATAATTTGATGGTGTCTGGTCGTAGATTTAGATCTTTAATCCATGTTGAGTGGATTTTTGTGTAAGGTGTAAGGTAGGGGTCTTGTTTCATGCTTCTGCATGTGGAAATCCAGTTTTCCCAGCACCTTTTCTTGAATAGACTGTCCTTACTCCAGGAATTGGTTTTAGATCCTTGATCAAATATAAGTTGGCTGTAGATGTCTGGATTGATTTCTGGTGTTTCTATTCTGTTCCATTGGTCTGTCCATCTGCTTCTGTACCAGTACCATGCTGTTTTGATTACAACTGCCCTGTAGTATGTCCTGAAATCTGGTATTGTGATGCCTCTGGCTTTGTTTTTGTTGTACAAGATTGCTTTAGCTATTCGAGGTCTCCTGTGTCTCCATATGCACCTTTTTTTCCAGATCCGAGAAGAATTAAAATTTTTGATTCTTATGTATTTTCACAAGCTGTTGCAAAGAGGAAATAAATGGGAGTTAATAAGGGAACATTTATGAATAATAGGAGTTAACATGCTACCGAGAGAAGTCAGGAAATTCCTTACGATTGTTATGGGTGATCGTCTATGCTTTTGTGTGTGTGTCACTTCTGATATCTGAAAACAGAACTTCAGGATCATGTACTGTGAGGTCTGACTAAAGATCGCTATTCATGTCTGAAATGATTTGATTAGAAAGACAGTAAACATACAAAGTGTGTTTTTATAGGAAGCTAATGTCACCACCTATATAAAGTTAAAAATACTTCATGGTCATATCGCATATTCTGAGACTCAGATTGAGGGGAAAAAGTCAAGTAAATATTTTTTTAGAGTTGTATTTATGCCACAGTGCCCATAGTAATAGCTCTGTGTGCATCCAATAACAATTTTATCTAATCACTATTAAGGTCATTTATGGAACTCCTGGAGGACAGGACTGTTATAATTTATCTTTTGCAGAATTTAGACAATCTGCTCAAGATCATAGAAGTGAACTAGACCTAATTGCTTTCTAGGTCTACAGTCTTATGTTTTATTTTATTTATTTTTTAATGATTTATTTATTTACTTGAAAGTCAGAGTTACACAGAGAGAAAGAAAGGGAGAGGAAAGGGGGTAGGAGAGGGAGAGGGAGAGAGAGGGAGAGAGGGAGAGAGAGGGAGAGACTCTTCAATCCACTGGTTCACTCCCCAATTGGCTGCAATAGCTGGAACTGCAGCAATCTGAAGCCAGGATGCAGGATCTTCTTCTGGGTCTCCCACATGGGTGCAGGGGCCCAAGGACTTGGGCCATCTTCTATTGCTTTCCCAGGACATAGCAGAGAGCTGGATTGGAAGTGGAGTAGCTGGGACTTGAATCAGTGCCCATATGAGATGCTGGCACTGCAGGCAGCAGCTTTACCTGCTATACCACAGAGCCAGCCCCCTTATATTTTATTTTAAAAAAGGGTTATTTTGCATTTATTTGAAAGGCAGAGTTAGAGACAGCGAAGGAGAGAGAGAGAGAGAGAGAGAATCTTCCATCTACTTAGTTACTCCCCAAATGACTGCAACAGTTGCAGCTGGGCCTATTTGAAGCCAAGAGCCTGGAGCTTCTTCTGGGGTCTCCCATGTGGGTGCAGGGGCTCAAGGACTTAGGTCATCTGCTGCTGCTTTCCTTGGCACATTAGCAGGGAGCTGGATTGGAAGTAGAGCAGCCAGGATTTGATTTGGTGCTCATATGGGATGCCCGTGTTGCAGGTGGGTGTAATCCACTGTGCGATTACTCCAACCCCACCTCGTTTTTAAAACGATTTCTTTTTTGTTTGTTTGAATTGTGCTGTCTTTTAGGTGTTGTGCCTGGCTAATTTCTCTGGCTGGTACCGTGATTGATCATCTCTTTTTCCTTTAAATGCATACCTCATCTGGTTTTTCGGTGACCATGGTTTTGTGATTTTCTCCTATCTCACTGGTCACTTCTCAGTGTCCTCCTCGTTGCCCCAACCTTTAGTATTTGAGGGCCCTTGGACTCAGTCTCTGCTTTTTATTTATACTAATGCATTGGTGATGTTGCCTACTACTCATGGTATTGCCATGATGACTCTTAGATATGTGACTGTCTACTTGACATGTCCACTTGGGTGTGCTTCTCCTGTTGTCATCTGTCGCTCCCCCTCTTCACGGAGGAACGACACTAAACCCTGCGCTGTTCTTTTGTCTGCTTGGCCCTTCCCGGGTTTGCTACTGGTCCTTCCCGGGTTGGCTGCCGACCCTTCCACCTCCGTGGAAGGGCGGCTCCCCCTGCCACTTTCCCCACTTCCGCGGGGGAGCGGCACACCGCCGGCTGGCTCTCTCTCGGGGGCTGCTCAGATGTTATCCGGATGTTCCCTCCAGATATTCCTGGTGCATGTTGTCTCTCTCCTCCTTTATAGTCCTCTTCCACCAATCCCAACTCTGCTACCCACACGCCGAGTACGCTGCTCTCCTCCAATCAGGAGCAGGATCAGCTCCTGCAGGTTATTGGTTGAACTGGAGGCAGCTGCGTAGAAGCTGTTTACTCCTCTCCCAGCGCCATATTGTGGGAGAGCAGATGCATAGAATAAGTCTTAATTCCAGTAACTTAGTCTAGTCCGAGTTGCTCCCCACAGTCATCCCCATCTTACTGAGTGGCAATTACATCCTTCCAGTTGCTTCTGTCCTTTCTATCACTTTTCACTCATGTCCCATATCCAGCCTAATCCCTTGGCAGACCTTGAGTTCTGCATTCAAAGTATAGCCAGAATCTACCACTTCTCATCATTTTCAGTATTATCACCTGGCCCAATACATCATTTTACCTCACCTAGATTATTACAAAACACTAGCTAGTCTTCCTGCTGCCACCCTTGTCTTTTAGCAGCTTGTTCTTTTTTTTTTTTTAAGATTTATTTATTTATTTGAAAGGCAGAGTTACATGGTGAGAGGAAGAGATAGAGATAGAGACAGATAGAGATAGAGATAGAGATAGAGATAGAGATAGAGATAGGGCCGGCACCTCGGATCACTTGGCTAATCCTCTGCCTGTGGTGCCAGTACCCCGGGTTCTAGTCCCGTTTTGGGCGCAGGATTCTGTCCCTGTTGCTCCTCTTCCAGTCCAGCTTTCTGCTGTGGCCCGGGAAGGCAGTGGAGGATGGCCCAAGTGCTTGGGCCTTGCACCTGCATGGGAGATCAGGAGGAAGCACCTGGTTCCTGGCTCCTGGCTCCTGGCTTTGGATTGGCGCACCATGCCAGCTGTAGCGGCCATTTGGGGGGTGAACCAACAGAAGGAAGACCTTTCTGTCTCTCTCTCTCACTGTCTAACTCTGCCTGTCAAAAAAAAAAAAAAAAAAGAGAGAGAGAGAGATGAGATGAGAGAGAGAGAGAGATCTTTACTCCATGGGCCAGCCTCTGGCCAGGAGTCTCATCTGGGTCTTCCACACAGGTGGCAGGGGCCCAAATACTTGGGCCATCGTCCACTGCTTTCTTAGGTGCATTAGCTGGGAGCTGGATTGGAAGTGGAGCATCTGGGAATTGAACCACTGTTCATATGGGATTCTGGTGCTGCAGGTGGCAGCTTAACCTGCTATGCCACAGCACTGACTCCTAGCAACTTGTTTTTAATACAGCATTCTGACTGTTCCTTTTGAAATGTCAGTTGTATCAGTTTTCTGCTCAGAATCTTCCATTGAGTTCTCATCACCCTGAGTTCTGAAAGTGGCCTGTAAGGCTTTATGCAGCCCATGTATAAGGCCAATGGTTTAAAACGAGATTCTGGAGTGGGCATTTAGCTTAGCAGTCAAGATACCTGCTTCCCATCTCAGAGTACCTGGTTGGATTCCCACCTTCAGCTCCTAATTTCAGCTTCCTGCTAATACAGACCCTGGAAAGCAGTGGTGATGGCTGAAGTAATTGAGTCCCTGATAACAAGAGAGGCCTGGCTTGCATTTGTAGCTTCTGGTTTCAACCTCAATCTGGTCCTGGCTGCCGTGGGCATTTGGAGGGTGAACTAGTGGATGTGAAACATACACATCTCTCTCTCTCTCTCCCTCTCCCTCTCCCTCTCCCCTCTCTCTTCCCCTCTCCCTCTCAAGTAAATAAATAACAAAAAAAATTAGGGATTGCACTTTGGTTAGAGCTGTTAATACAATTTTTGATACATAGCCTCTCCTGTGTGGAATGCATATATTTTCTGTACTAGATTCAAGGTCTGTACTAACACAATAAAACTTCAAAAGATTCATTTATTTATTTGAAAGGCAGTGAAGGAAAGAAAGGGAGGAGAGAGAGAGGGAGGGAGGGAGGGAGGGAGAGAGAGAGAGACATCTTAAGTCTACTGATTCACTCCCCAAATGTCTGCAACAGTGAGCACTGGACCAGGGTAAAGCTAGAAGCCTGGAACTTCCTCCAGTTCTTCTACATGGGGACTGGGGAACAGAGTACTTGATCCACCATCTGCTGTCTTTCCAGACACATTTGCAGAAAGCTGGATCAGCAGCAGAGAAGCTGGAACTCAAACCAGGCACTCCAATACAGGATGCAGGCCATCCCAAGTGCCAGCTTAACACACTGGGACACAATGCCCACCCACAATAAACTTGTATATGCAATAATTTAATTTTTCCCTTTAGAATTGTTTTTGATTTGTGCCCTTAACGATTGTTATTCAATTTCTAGCTGTTTTAAGATGTATTCTGGCTCTAAATAGAATGCATTCATTCTATAAGCGTATTTTTAAAGATTTATTTATTTATTTGAAAGTTAGAGTTACACAGAGAAAAGGAGAGGCAGAGAGAGAGAAAGGTCTTCCATCCACTGGTTCACTCCCCAACTGGCCACAGTGGCTGGAGCTGTACCCATCCAAAAGCCAGGAGTCAGGAGCTTCTTCTGGGTCTCCCATGCAGGTGCAGGGGCCCAAGGCCTTCAAATCCCTGGGTCCTTATGAACATGATTTCTGCTTCATCTATTTAATTCTCTGGCCCCACAGCTAAGGTTACAAAATAGCTTACTTACTATACCAAAGTGAAGAGATGAACAATGCAAAAGCCATTTGGTGACACCTTTTTTGTTGTTGTTGTTGTTATTACTTCTATCCACAGGCAAGGAGAATGCTCTTAAGTATTGAGTTTTGAGTAATATATTGAGTCTCATTTGACTGTTGGGGACATTTAGAAACAAAAGTACTTTCAATCATAAATAATTTTAAATGCATAATGTCATGGGAAGGCTAATTTTTTTTCCTCCTGCTGTTATATGCCTGACTAGCTATGAATTGGAATTTTTACAATGTGAATTTCATATAAAAATTCCCTTCCCTTTCTTTTTTTTCTTTTATTAGTTATAAACATTCAGATGAAAACAACCTAACTTGTAATGGACCCCCAATGGAAATAGCTGGTGAATACGCAGATAATTTAAATGTGATCTATACATATTCTGTAAAATTTGAGGTAAGTATTCTGTGCCATCATCTTATTTTTCCCAAGTCAAGTATATAAATATCATATTCTTAATATAAAAGCAAATATAACCAGAATACAACAAATAGAAAGTTTCTTAGTAGGCATGGGATTGCAGAGCAAAGGGAATTAAGGTATTAAAAAGATTATATTTATGACATTCTAATGCCATAACTTACTAATGCACCGAATATTTGTGTTAATAGGTCAGACATTCTTAATTGTATATAGTGTTAGAAGTAGTTTACCAAAAGGTTGAATTTGGGACTTTGTTTTAGAGGGAAAACCTTCACTATGTAGATCTATGTATTTCCACTTTTAGTCTTTTTCAGATCCTATATCATATTTTTGATTCATCTTTGACTATACTTGATTTCATTTAAGACTCATTTTTTATGGCTGCAGATCTTCTTCCCAGAGGCCAAACTATAATCACTTTATTTGGGGCTAAGTTTCAAATTTTTCATTTACAACTTGTGCTTGGTTTGTGTCATTTCTGTGGATGGTCTGACAGCCATTACAACATGATTCTTGCTAATCTCATTTTTTAAAAAGATTTATTTATTTATTTGAAAGTCAAAGTTACACAGAGAGAGGAGAGGCAGAGAGAGAGAGAGAGAGAGAGAGAGAGAGGTCTTCCATCCGCTAGTTCACTCCCCAGATGGCCGCAACAGCTGGAGCTGCGCCAATCCGAAGGCAGGAGCTAGGAGCTTCTTCCGGTTCTCTGATATGGGTGCAGGGTCCCAACGACTTGGGCCATCTTCTACTGCTTTGCCAGGCCATAACAGAGAGCTGGATTGGAAGAGGAGCAGCCAGGACTCGAACCAGCGCCCATATGGGATGCCGGTGCTGCAGGCGGAGGGTTAACCTACTGTGCCACAGTGCCAGCCCCAGCTCTTAGACATTTTAATCAGTTACCAATTAGGTATTATAATTTTTTCATGTAAGAACTCTTAAGTTTACAGTAACACCAAAGGAAATACTTCTAAATTGAAGTACTGACTCAGATCTGGAGCATACATGGTATTTTGTTAGTTTCTCTCTCTCTCTCTGTCTCACTCATCAGGAAGCAACTGTCACCATCATCAAGAGAGATAAAATGGAAGGTAAAGATGTCACCTAAAAAATGGAGGAATTTGAGGAATCACTCTATCTGGGGTGAAGTCTCAAGTGCTTGTTCGTCAACAGTCAGACCTAATCCTGATTGTACTTATGGGCCTGAGTCCTTGATCAGGCAGATACTGACCATGAAAAAGTCCAGAGGCTATATAATGATTTTTAGTTTTAAGAAAGTTTTGTTATTTAGCTTTTTTCTTTCTTTCTTTCTTTTCTTTGACAGGCAGAGTTAGACAGAGAGAGAGAGAGAGAGAGAGAGAGAGAAAGGTCTTCCTCTTTCCTTTGGTTCACCCCCCCCAAGTGGCTGCTACGGCTGGTGCGTTGCGGCCGGCGCGCTGCACTGATCTGAAGCCAGGAGCCAGGTGCTTCCTCCTGGTCTCTCATGTGGGTGCAGGGCCCAAGGACCTGGGCCATCCTCCACTGCACTCCCTGGCCACAGCAGAGAGCTGGACTGGAAGAGGAGCAACCGGGATAGAATCCGGCGCCCCAACAGGGACTAGAATCCGGGGTGCCAGAGCCACAGGCGGAGGATTAGCCTAGTGAGCCACGGCGCTGGCCCGTTATTTAGCTTTTAAGTTTAGCAGTCAAGGATCTTGCACTATAATGGTCTCATAAAATGCTATGTTTCCAAATGGGCATGAAAGTTGGAGTTTATAATAAATTTGTTCAGAAGGACAGATGACTCACAAAATCTAACATTTGAGTAAGAGCTTCTGTTTATCCACTTACAAGAAAAATATTTCTTGAGAGCCTATAATGAACTGAGTGCCTATTATAAATTACTGGATGCCAGGCTAAGGTTTTTTTTAAAGTTTTACTTTTTTTTTTTGACAGGCAGAGTGGACAGTGAGAGAGAGAGAGAGACAGAGAGAAAGGTCTTCCTTTTTCCGTTGGTTCACCCTCCAATGGCCGCCTCGACCGGCGCACCACGCTGATCCGAAGCCAGGAGCCAGGTGCTTCTCCTGGTCTCCCATGGGGTGCAGGGCCCAAGCACTTGGGCCATCCTCCACTGCACTCCCTGGCCACAGCAGAGAGCTGGCCTGGAAGAGGGGCAACTGGGACAGAATCCGGCGCCCCAACCGGGACTAGAACCCGGTGTGCCGGCGCCGCAAGGCGGAGGATTAGCCTAGTGATTAAAGTTTTACTTATTTATTAATTTGAAAGGCAGAGTGACAGAGAGGCACGGAGAGACAGAGAGATTTTCCATATGCCAGTTTACTCCCCAAATGGCCCCGACAGCCAGGGTTGGACCAGGCAGAAGCCAGAAGCTAGGAACTCCATCTGGTTTTCCATGTGGGTGGCAGAACCCAAGCACTTGGGCCATCATCTACTGCCTCCCAGGTGCATTAGCAAGAAGCTGGATTGGAAGGAGAGGCAGGACTTGAATTAGGCACTGTGATGTGGGATGCAGTCATGCTAAGTGTCGACTTTAACCTGCTGTACCACAATGCCTGCCCAAGGGTAAAGTGTATTCTCAGCATTTTTATTTAATTTTTTAAAGAAGGCTTTTATTTAATAAATATAAATTTCATAGGTACAGCTTTAGGAATATAGTGGTTCTTCACCCCATACCTGCCCTCCCACCCCCACTCCCATCCCACCTCCTACTCCCTTTCCCATCCCATTCTTCATTAAGATTCATTTTTAATTATCTTTATATACAGAAGATCAACTCTATACTAAGTAAAATTTCCACAGTTTGCACCCACACAGACACACAAAGTATAAAGTACTGTTTGAAGACTAGTTTTACCATTAATTCTCATAATACAGCTCATTAAGGACAGAGGTCCTACATGGGGAGTATAAGTGCATAGTGACTCCTGTTGTTGATTTAACAATTAACACTCTTATTTTTGATGTCAGTGATCACCTGAGGCTCCAGACATGAGCTGCCAAGGCTATGGAAGCCTTTTGAGTCCACAAACTCTGTCAGTATTTAGAAAGGCCATAAGCAAAGGGGAAGTTCTCTCCTCTCTTCAGAGAAAAGTACATCCTTCTTTGATGGCCCCTTCTTTCCACTGGGGTCTCACTCACAGAGATTCTTCATGTAGGACATTTTTTGACACAGTGTATTTGCTTTCCATGCCTGAAATGCTCTCGTGGGCTTTTCAGCCAGCTCCGAATGCCTTAAGTACCAATTCTGAGGTCAGAGTGCTGTTTAGGGCATTTGTCATTCTGTGAGTCTGCTGTGTGGACTGCTTCCCATGTTGGATCATTCTCTTCTTTTTAATTATTTATTTTATTTTATTTTATTTTATTTTTTTATTTTTGACAGTCAGAGGTAGACAGTGTGAGAGAGAGAGAGACAGAGAGAAAGGTCTTCCTTTTTCCGTTGGTTCACCCCCAAAGTGGCCGCTACGGCTGGCGTGTTGCGACTGGTGTGCCGCGCTGATCCAAAGCCAGGAGCCAGGTGCTTCCTCCTGGTCTCCCATGCAGGTGCAGGGCCCAAGCACCTCCACTGCCATCCTCCACTGCCTTCCCGGGCCACAGCAGAGAGCTGGACTGGAAGAGGAGCAACCGGGACAGAACCGGCGCCCCAACCCGGACTAGAACCCGGGGTGCCGGTGCTGCAGGTGGAGGATTAGCCTAGTGGGCTGCGGCGCCAGCCTCTTCTTTTTAATTCTATTATTATTACCAGACACTTGGTCTTATTTGTTTTTATGTTACTAACTAAAGGCTTTTTGGTCTCATTCTAATCACATTAGTTAGAGCTATACAAGTATATTTTCCTTATACAAGCTTTATTTTGGGGCTTGCCTGGGACTCTAGCTATATTTATAACATTGTTTTTATTGGAAAATTACCTTCTGATTTTCTTTTTTTAATATTTATTTTTTATTTATTTGAAAGAAAGAGTTACATAGAGAGAGAGGGAGATACAGAGAGAGCGAGAGCGAGAGCGAGTGAGAGAGAGAGTGCTTCCGTACACTGCCTCACTCCCCAAATGGCTGTAGCCGCTAGGGCTGGGCCAGGCTGAAGCCAGGAGCCAGAAGCTTCTTCTGGGTCTCCAGGGTGGGTGCGGGGGCCCAAGCACTTGGGTCATATCAGCTGCTTTTCCCAGGAACATTAGCAGGGAGCTGGATCAGAAGTGGAGCAGCCAGGACTCGAACCAGTTCCCATATGGGATGCTGGAAGTGGCTTTACCTGCTACGCCACAATACCAGCCCCAATTTCTTTTGGAGATCATAGATCAATAACTGAATCGAGAATCAGAAAACTTTGGTGCTGTTTTGGCTCAAACTCATACCATGATCTTTAATTTTATTTATTTATTTGAAAGTCAGAGTTACACAGAGAAGGAGAGGCAGAGAGAGAGAGGTCTTCCATCTGCTGGTTCACTCTCCAATCGACCTCAATGGCTGGAGCTACGCTGATCTGAAGCCAGGAGCCAGGAGTTTCTTCTGGGTCTCCTACATGGATGCAGGGGTCCAAGGACTGGGGCTGTCTTCTACTGTTTTCCCACGCCACAGCAGAGAGCTAGATCAGAAGTGGAGCAGCTGGGACTCGAACAGGCACCCATATGGGATGCTGGCACTGCAGGCGGTGGCTTTACCCGCTACGCCACAGTGTTGGCCCCCATACTATGATCCTGAGCATGTTCATTTTTTCCCTCTAAGTCTGAGTTACCCCATACTAGAAGAAAGGAGTTGAACTGTGTCAGTGGTTCTCAACCCTGTCAAATTGATACCTGTAGTTAATAACAAATGTTTTATAACTTCCCTTTTAGTATTTTAAATAGATACTAGTACACAATAGACAATGAAATTTGTCTCAAGATACTTTCAATAAACATCAGCATACTAAGTATAATATAAAGGAGAAATGAAAGGCAAGTAACTTTTCATAAGATAAAATAATAAGTATTTAAGCAT